CTCTCGTATCTGAAGTAAGTATAAAGAGAACTGTGATTCCACGATTTTTTTTAAACAGCAAGCAAGCAAACATCGCTTCTTATCATTCACTCACTATCCCTTCCAGACTTCCAACAATTCGCTTCCTCCACCATCTTCCTCGCTTCTTCATCAGAAAGTTCCCCAGCCCTCTCATTCCAAAAACAGTCAAGATGATGAACTTCCTCTCCATCCTCGCTCTGGCCATTGCCGCCTCCGCAACCCCAATTGCAATTCCCGAAGCTGGCGATGCAGTCGTTGCTACTCGCCAGATCGTCACCGACCGTACGAGCTTGACCGAGAACGAATTCTCCTCCCTGATTGGCGGTGGGTGCAAGGACGTTATCTTCGTGTGGGCCCGTGGATCCACCGAGGCCGGCAACATGGTAAGTGGATACTTGAGAGAAAAAAACCCCACAAAAAGCAAGATCGAATGCATTCCTTCTAGATCTAGATTCTAACTTGGGGAAACTTTCTAGGGTTCCGTCATTGGCCAGCCCCTCGGTGACGAGCTCCGCCGCGAATACGGTAGGGACCTCGCCATTGAAGGCGTCGACTACGCTGCTCTGCTGTCCACCAACTACCTCCCCGGCGGTACTGATCTCGCTGCTGAGCTGGAGATGCGCGGTATCCTCCAGGACATCAACCGCAAGTGTCCTTCTGCTGTCATTGTTTGCGGTGGATACTCGTACGTCCCAACTTACCCCTCCACTCACTTCACTTCTTGATACTAACCAATGGCAATAGCCAAGGTGCAGCAGTCAACCACCGTGCCATTGAGGATCTCTCCACCGCTGTCAAGAACCAAATTGCCGGTGTCGTCACCTTTGGCGACACACAGGCTCGCCGTGACAACCAGCAGATCCCCAACTTCCCCAAGGACAAGCTCAAGATCTTCTGCGGTGGTGCTGTCCGCGACACTGTCTGTGACGGTAACCTTGCTGCAGCTGTCTTGCTTCCTCACCTTAGCTACGGCAGTGATGCAGGAGAGGCTGGCCGATTCTTGATCGGAAAGATCAACGCTGTCCGCGGCGCAAAGGCTTAGAGTTTTTGACTCGAGTTTACTTTTTGAAGATGGAGAGGGATTGGGGCAAATTGATTGGAAGAGTAATGCAGGTCATTCGGAAGATGGAAGATGGAAGATGGGGGATAGTTGGCGGTATTGTGTATATTTTGCTCGCCAGTGTAATCGTTAGGTTACATCTGATTGTACATAAAGACGAGTGGAAATGTAAATGGAGGATTTTCTTAAACTTTGTCCCAATTGCAATAGGATTTCACGTGAACTTTTTTTTCAGATACAATATCTATCGCTATCAAAGAGTCTCGGAGCCTATATCAAACTTGTATTGATAATTGTTGCCAAAATTGCGAGGCCTGGAGACGCTAAAGGCAAATTTCAGTCGGCCTATCAGTACACGGCCATATTTGCTAGCCGATTCCGTTATGCATATGGAAACACGTCATCTTAAATCTTCCGATTCGACTTTCGCTTCCGTATGCGAACAGCTACTGTTCGCAGCGGCATCACAGAACCGAAAGCCTTATCGGACATGGTCGGCATGACTGCATCCGTAAATTCCGGATCACAAAGTTGAATCTCCCACTCGTTCAACAAGACAACCAAAGTCGCGGCCTGAATGGTTTGTGCGTATTCACTGCCCAGACCGATGTTTTGGTGGCCACCAAAAGCAGGAGCTAGTAGATCAAGACCCTCCAAGCTGAACTCGCCCGATTCGAAACCGCCTCTTTTCTTCGGCTTATCAGGTATGAGAAACCTGCCTCCCCAGAACTCTTCCAGTGGTTTCTCGACGGTACGCGGTCGCGCTTTGGCCCATGATTTGTTATCCAGTCCAATGTCGTGTGAAAACGCGATCGGTAACCTTCCTTTGGGGAGTACGTACTCTCTGTCCAAGAGGATATCATGGGCTTTGGCAGGATATATCATGTACTGTGCCGTTCGTAAACGGTTAGTCTCATAATACAGAGACTTAACAAGGGGTAAAGCTGCAATTTCCGTAACACCATAAGTCCCAGGTGTTCTTGACGGATTCTTGGAAACAATGTCGTTCATTTGGTTAGCCAATTGCGGATCGCGCAACACTTCAAGCATGGACCAGATTGTTGACGGAACGAGTTTCCCATTTGAACTGCATGCATGGGTCAGCATATATATTCTCGTTCCTCACAAGCACAGTCCTCCCCTAATGCATACGCACCAATGAATGATCTTTAGCAACTCCACTGCTCGCGATTCTTCCGATGTGAACTCTGACAAAAGACCAGTGAGTTCTTGAATAAATGGAGATCCTCTGTGATCATCCCAATCTAAATTGTTGGTGCCAGCATTTGCAGTGTTGCCGCCGCTTTGGTTGGCCCTGAGCCATTTCTCAATTCCTTCGAGTAACGCATCGCGGGGCTGTTCATATGCAGTCGCTCCCAATAGCCATGTCATTCCTGGCACATAGCTTTCCAGTGCCTTTTCAAATGTCCAATAGTCTTTCACGAACTTTGGATACAGCCGGAAGATTGTCGGTCCAAACAATGTCTCTACCAAGCATCTTGTAAGGACTTGGTGAAAGAAGGACCAGAAGTCTTCTATCTGTGTCCACGTGCCGACTTGGAACATTTTGTCGTCCATATTGCTTGAAAGCTTTGAAGCATAACGCTCGCCTATAGTAGCCATTGATCCGCCAGTCAAGTATTTCCGAATTGGTGTCGTGAATGCAATGTTGACTTTTTCATTGTACTTTGCAGGATCGGAAAACTCTGCTGGAATGCTGGTTTGACGTTTGGGCACCTTGAAGATACCCTCATATTCGTGTCTTACGATGGAAACCTGCTCTGATGGTTTTGATGCTTCTATGACTACTTTGATATGCTTAGGGTCCCGGAGGACCACGAAAGTTTGCAAACCTGCCTTGACAGTGAATGGGGCGAAGCTGCCAAAATCCTTGCTATTGCAGATCAGTGACCGTTGCACAAAACTCAAGTAAGTGCCTTACAATAATCTAGCAAAGAACTTTTGCGGTCCTTCCGCGGCTATGCTAAACGTATGGAACACGCCAGGGACCAAGTACGGGATTGTGGGCGGCCTTTTTCCTGCTGCATCATTCTTTGAGCTTTGGAAGAAGAAAGCAGTAGTGAGGTAATATGTTAAAGCCGGGAGGACTATCACTGCCACCGCGATAATGAGAAGCATGGCTAGCGTTGTGTGAGATCGAATGAGGTGTAGTCGCGGTGTTAAACTTGGAGTTGACCCTAGCGCAAGCTAACTGCTGGTCTTGTGCTGGGATTGGCCGCCACCGCCTCAACCAATTGCAGCTTCAATCATCAACTAGAAGGGTTTAGATTCGCGAGATATCAGTAGTGACATGTCTTAACTACAATTATCTTACATTCAAGCATCGTTTTGAAGGTGTCCAATGCGCCATCGAATATTCACATCGCCAAACATCAGTTCGTGCACGCTTCTTACTTAGCTTGGATCTAAATGCAAAGGAAAACACTATAGGCATTCTATTTCATGCAGATGGGGTATCATATCCAAACGCCAGCATCTATGTACTTCCCAGGGGGGCTCGAGAGTCCTACCAACTTGCCAAAACCTTGTCCACCTTTGCTTGACTGTGGCTGCTGAGTCCCTCCATATCAACATCCTCGTCATCTTCCGCAGTCGAAGGCACCTGTACGTTGCCAAACTTCTCCTCGACTCTTGCTGCAACACGTATGGCCAGTGTCCTTGTTTTTGCCAGCTCTGGGACCAGCGGCGCATCCTTCCATGCCAGATTTGGCTGTATGTTCTCCTTCGGCTGACGATAGGGTTCTAGCAACGACAGCAGTGTGCGATATGTGTTGAGCTTGTTTTGTAGTGTCTGGCGCTGAGCCGATAGCTCCTGCAAGCGTGAGACAGAGGAAAGGTATTCATCTTGCGTTACTTGGTCGTTGCTGTCACGAGCATGCCATGTCGCAGGCAGTTTCGCAATATTCTCATCAAGAGTGAGATCAGCATTTTGGTACAGTGTGTTTGCATCATCTTCGTGAAGATCAGAAGCGGTTTGATCGTCCTCTTGGTCGTCATCAACGGGCTGCGCCCCGGAATCCCAGTACAACGTGTCTATCTGCTCAACGACATGCTCGATCATTTGGCGACTGTAAACTGTCCGCGAGTGTCTCTTTAGGTCACGGTTGACTAGATGCTGGTTTAGTTTTGATCATCGGGTCCGGGCGTGGGATTTTTTTTTTAAAACAATTTACCTTTATCAAGCACTCCTTTCATGACACTCAGCTCGATCCCGCCATCTTGCGCAAGTGTTCGCAGTCGTTCCGATGGCGGTATTCCACGCGACAAGATGTGCTTCCTGGTCTGGAGGAAATGTTGCTTCTGCTCAACAATGGTAGCTTGTTTTGAGCCAGGTACTGGGACACGTTGACTCATTTTAAACACATGGGACGGTATGCTATCGAGGGGTTTGAATGGCTGCACCGATTGCGGGGAGGCACTGAGAGCGCGACGCGTTGAAATCAGACTTTGCCCAGTCGGGACTAGTGCAGAATATGTATTTTACAATCAGTGAGAAATTCTGAAAAGTAACTGTGGTTGCAACCAGATATATGAAACTAATTCGACACGTCCAAATTGAAATTCTAGTACATGAAGTCTGCAAAGTATATAATCTGTCGCTACACTGCGCAGTTAGGTTATAACAGTAGTTACATTACTAGCAAGTCGCTTGGTCCAAGCAGCCTTGAGCACAAATTAGCATGTGACTTCTTCACGAATACATAGCATACATGTATGATTTTCCTCTTGGACCCTTCGTAATCACTTGGTTTTCTTGAACATGGCTGCAGGAGTATCTGACAATGAGTTCAAACAGGTGGCCTGTGCATAGTTTAGTTGCACCTACTACCACTATGTGGGCACTGTGGGTGCGTGCGGGGGGAAGAACGTCACGACTTCCTGCGTTCCGCGTTGTGTCAACCACAGCAACGTGACAGGAGCGAAACTTGGTACGCGTTTTGATAACAGGCCGACCTTATAGCTTTGGTCACAACTCGCAATAACTACAAAAAGAGATATATAATGCTACGCCAGCAGATGAACGAGGTAGACCTTTTGATACTGGGGGCTGGCTGGACTTCGACGTTCTTGATTCCGCAACTGAGCGATACCGACATTACGTACGCGGCTACCACCACCTCAGGGAGAGATGCTACGATACCTTTCAAATTCGACCCCGAATCTGGAGATGCAGAGTCGTACAAGCGACTTCCGGCTGCCAAAACGGTCGTCATCACCTTTCCGTTAGTCGGTCACGGCCAATCAAAGAGCCTCGTCGGATTGTACCGCTCCGTTCACGGCGCGAGGAACAACTGGATTCAACTCGGCTCAACCGGAATCTACAACAAGGTACCTGACGATTGGAGTGATGAAGATGCGCATTACAACAAGGAAGACAAGCGAGCTATTGCGGAGGACGAACTGCGCTCGCTCCATGGCTGTGTGTTGTGTCTTGCGGGTCTTTATGGAGGCGAGCGTGTTCCCGCGAGGTGGTTGCCACGTATCGTCAAATCCAAGGACGATATCAAAAAACGAGGCGCCGTACACTTCATCCACGGCGAGGATGTCGCACAAGCCATAATTGCGACACACCAGAACTTTACGCCCGGTAAACGTTGGATTGTTTCCGATCTGCGCGTCTATGATTGGTACGACCTCATCATGAGCTTCAGCTCTATGACTGAATCATCCATGTCCCAAGAAGAGAAAGAAACGCAGCAGCAGTATGCGAAGTGGGTTAGCGAGCTTATGCATGAGGAGGATATTCGTGCTCTACCAAGGGACGTGAGCTCGTTGGGACGAAAGCTGGATTCAAGACGCTTCTGGGCCTATCACGGGCTGTTGCCTCGCCATAGACGTCTGGCATAGAGTCATATCTGATGACATATTGGAGAGTAACGATAAATGCCTCATTAGATTGATATGTAAGCGGTAGACATGTAGCGAAAGCTGATGGAGGCTGATAGCTTGTCATCACCTATCAAAAGAACAGTGAATGTATCTTGTGGTAGCGTGGTCATGCCCGTTCCGTACAAAAAGATAGATTCCCTTTCGATATAAAAAGCCAGATTTCCTTTCCAGTTATAAGGAGAGATTCCCTTCCCACTCGGAGCTTCTCTTCATCTCTCATAATATCACTGCTTGAAGCCAATACTCTCAAATCACTCATATTCTCTACACCAACGCTCTCACACCCACCACCACAATGCAGCACCTCCAAGCAACACCAATCACTATCAGCCACATCTACTCCAAAGATGCGCGCCAGTGGCTGGACATCAGTGGCCTACAACCTCCACAGCGGTCACTATTTCCTCATCAACCGAAAATGGACATACCACAGCCCTCTGCTGCACCTATGTTGCAGTATCAACAACTGCAATACCAGCAGTACATTCCGCCACCGCCGCCGCAGCAGCAGCAGCAGCAACAACCACAACAACCACAGCAGCAGCAAAAACAACAACAACAACAACAACAACAACAACAAAGCCTCTCGGGGACGAAGAGGAATCACTTCTCCCCCTCAAATCCTGACGAGGAGCAACCCCTAGCTCCCAAGAAACCCCGTCTCTCCTCCCCCCTCCCTCCCACCACCACCACCACCAACGTCACCCCCGCAAAGCGGCGCCGAGGCCGCCCAACAAACGCCTCCAAAGGCCTCCCTACAAAGCGGGCGCCTAGGAAGTCCGAATCCAAAACCACCATCACCACTACCACCAACATGACTGGGCAAAACCAAGCCCAACCCCCTTGCACCACGGATCCCGCACCGCAAGCGGTGCCATACTATCCAGGATTCCAGCCCGCTGGTGCAGGATATGTTCCGCAGCCTGTAGCGATGGTGGCGGCGTCGGAGAGTGAGATTGATGCGGGTGTTCGGGCGCAGATGGCTGCGTTGGAGGAGGAAGAGGAGGCGTATAGGGCGGTTAGTGAGGGGTTGGCAGTGGAAGGGGAAGCGGGAGTGGTGGCTCAGGAGGATAGGGAGGATTCATTGTTTGGAGATGATTGTGGAGAGGGAAGTGGAGCAGTGACTGAATGGACACTGGATGCCGTGGGAGGAGAAGCTGGCGCTGGCGCCAACGACGACGACGATAAGGATTCTTTGTTTGGCGATGTAAAAGACTTTTTTGAGTAATAAATAACGTGCACTCCATCTCCACAAGACATTAAAGCAATAGTGACTCAAGAAAAGAATAGTTTTAAAATGTTTATACTTAATATTGTGCTGGTCTGGGTATATCGCATAGGCGAGGTAAAAAGTCTATGTGAATGAATAGACGACCCACCCAATGGGGGTTTTCTTTAGAGAATGCAAAAGAAGACTGTAGTACGACATGAAAACAACCGCTACGCTATGCAAGTGAAATAAAAAAAACAATTACCACCTTAGACCTCAATGTTCTCAAACGGATCCCGATCAGGGGGCAAGCCCCTGTAGATGACATTGCCACTAGCATCCAATCGCGCATTCACACTGGTGATCCATATTCTCTTCGTGAAAGCACTCGTACGCTCAATCTCATCCTTAGCGATACCGAGCTCATCGTGTGGGATCCAGACTGCAGGCTGGATGGCGCGCGTAGCAGGATGTTGGAAAGATCGCTTAATCAGTTTCTGACGGGCTTCGGGTTCAATGTCTGCAAGTTCGTCGTCGACCTCGTCAAACAGGTTGCCGGCAGGTAGAACTTGTGCTTCGGCATCACGTATAGGCTTGGCGACATCGTCGAGACCCTTCTTGAGTGTGTTGGTGATCACGTCGAATGGATCGTGCTTTTCCTTCTTCTTATGCTGCGAACGGGCGTGTCGTGACTGTGAGCGCGAGTTGGAACTGCGGCGGGAACGACCGGTTTGGCTTGCATCGCGGCCACCACTTTGCTTGGGCGAACGACCGATTGCACCAGACATATCATTATCCAAGTTATCCAGCTCATAGGCCTCTTGGCTATGGGATTCGCGACGTTTTCTGTCTCCGAGACGGGTTTCTTCATGTTCTCCGGAAGTCGACTGAGCATCTTCTTGAGCGGTGAGAGCCGTGTGCTCGTCCGCTTGCTTCCACCGACTGGCTTGGGCTCGCTGCCACTCTTCATCTCTCTGCACTGCTTCATCTTCGAATGTAATTGGAAGATATGTGAACAGTGGTCCAAATGCCCTGTTGAGCACAATCTGGAAAAGAGCAGTGAAGATGAGCATGATGATCATGACAATGGCGTGAGGGAAACAGGACTGTTTGCCAGTTTCGTCTTCTTGCAGGAAGAACAAACCAACGAGACAAAGTTCCAAGAAGTAAAGCCCAGTGAATAGCTGGTTGACGGCCTTGGGAAAGATGAGACCGTTAGTTTCGGCTTTAGCGTAACTAACATAGATCATCTGGTAGCGGTACGTGAACCAGAAGAGACAGAATGTGATCAACATCATAATGAGGATCAGGGGTGCCACAACAGAGTAGATAAGACCTGTTGACTGTTAGAGACACATGTAGTAGGGTGAGATACACACTTACCAATTGCACCAAAATTGGTGTAGACGGGTATCATAGTACCCCAGTTGATTCCAGGTCTTTGCAATACTCGTGAAACCTTCTGTCGAGGCGTCGTGTCCATGAAGCGGAGGAAAATGATGACGACAACGGCGCCAATCTGTAGCAAAGTACCAGAACTAATACTGAGTGCTTGTAGAATCATGTAAGAGAAGAAGTAATTGGCGGCTTTGGGCAGACTCTTGGCCAGTGTTTGGGGAACACTGAGGGGGTCATTGACAAGGTCGTCAATAGCCGTCGTGATACCCGTGGAAATGGATACGACAAGGAACAACTGGACGAAGACGAAAGCGAAGTAGAAGTTTTGGACAAGCAACTCGCGCTCACCAGATGTCGTTGTACCAGTGACGCCCGCCAGGAATCGTAGAACAAGAGGCAGTACAGCAAAGAGAATAGCCAAAAAAGCAGGTGGCAACACACCCTGCACGAAGCTGACTACCCAGTCGGGAAGACGATTAATGAAGCCGAGCCAAGGGAGTAACGAGGTGAGGGTATCGATCTGAGACAAAGCTCCTGTAAATGTAACAGGCACACCCCAAAAGATGACAAGTCCGACGATTAGAATAACGACACCAAAAAAGCGTAGATAGCGCTCCCACCACTTCATTGTAAGATTTTCCCAAAGCACGTAGTTGGGATTGACTTCGACAGTTCGTGGGTTCATCTGCCTGGGAATATGGTGACTCAGAGATTGACATGCCATGTGTGCCGCAACCTGGTGGTTGAACTGAATAAAAGCAGAGTTCATCAAGGGAAACCGTTCCGGATGGGCTTGGTCATCTGCGATTTCGGCATTCAGGCGAGCAAGTTCCTTGCGGCAGTGGTAAATCGTGTCTACCTTTTTCCCAATCAATGGTAAGGAGGGCCACCATGAAAAATTGAACAGCGGTAGGCGCATCGTTTCTCGGTCCTTTGGTTTGACATACTTTCGCCACAGAGCGTTTTCGTCGTCCTCTTTGAAATCCTCGTCCCACAATCCGGTCGTATCGTACTTGATCTTGCTGGCATCTTTGATTTCCATTGGTGGCGATTCATTGTTTTTGAAAGGCTTAGGACTTATGAAGTCGCCTTGGCCAACGTATATAGATTTGAGCTTCTTGAGAGGCTGGCTCCATCCGACCTTGGTAGGGGGTTTATCTTCTTCTTCGTCCTCGGCCGCGGGCGCTTTGAGATCCTGGGCTGGAGAGTTTACCTCGGATGCATGGTCGTCAGAGAAGTAGTTTTCCTTGTTTGCTAGGGGAGTTTGAGTGTCGCTGCTTGCGCCTCTCAGATTGTACTCGGCTGAGGTTGGTGAAGTTTGGGCAATGTCGTTGGGCCCATCAACAGCAGCTTGCTCTTGCTCAGAATTTGAGGGTTTGCTGCGATGACGTTTCGAACCAAAGACACCTCGCATGTTACCGTACATCTTTTTGTTAAACCGGTCTACCCCGCGGAATCCTTCACCAACTGCATGTATGCCTTCGCCAAACAAAGGAATAGGAATTATACCACGCTTGCGACTTGGAGAAGAGGATCTGGACGAAGACGACGAAGACGAAGACGAACCGGGCTCGGCAAGAACACTCTGAAGCTGCTGCTCGATTTCGTGAGGGTTACCAGCATCGACACCGTGATCATGCGTCTCCTGGTTGATCGCAAGATTCTGCATGGCTTCTTCCTCTTTTTTTTCCTTTCTGGACTTTTTATTGCCTGCTTGTTTTGCTTCCTTTTCTTGCATCTTCTTGTGTTTCTTGGTACATTCGATGATGAGGTTCGTCTCGGCAGCCTCGAGGTCTCGCGCAACTTTGATTCGCTCATCCACCTTTTCCATCAAGGCGTCATAATCGCGATTGATCCAGATATCCTTGATACCGCCTGGGAATACGTCATAAAGTGCATCGAGAGCAGCGACAGTGAGCCACTTTTTAGGGATGCTCTGGACCAGAATTGTGGTAGCAGAAGCTCGAATACGGTGATCTGGTCGGGTGAGAACAGTCTGTCTCAAGCGAACAAATTGTCTCAGCGCCAAGTAGAAGTTAAAACAGACCCAACAAATAACGCAGACGGCGAGAACCAAATGCACCACCAATCGGTCGTGTTTTCCTGGTACGCCAACATTTGGCCATGCGAACGAATCCAAGCCAGCTACGTCGGGCACATCGCCAATTCGGTTTAGAGGCAAGAGGATTGGGAGGATGACGAGAGCCATTGGGATGAATATGCGCAGCAAAAGCTGAAGGTATTGAAGAAACAGATAGCCATCGACACCGGCGATGCGAATGAGCTCGGAATCGCTAATCGTAAAGACATTCTTGAAAGACTCGATTGCGGTTACTGGGGCGGCGATACGTTTTGCAACGGGGACGAAGGCAGTCTTGTAGTAGCTAGTCGTCGTTAGTAAATGTGTGGCAAAGCAAATGTGGATTGCTACATACTAGATCTTGTGAAAGAGGCTCTGTCGCGATACCCCGTCCTTGTTTTTATCCTCTGCAAGTTTCCTGGATTTTCTCTTGTGCAGTTTCCAGTTGCCGCTCAGAATCAGGAAAAAGGCAATCTGCACGCCGAAAATGACAGCGGCCGTGGAGAGGGAGGCGGCGAAATTCTCAATACTCTGGTTTTCTTTTCGCTGAGCAGAACCAGGGCCGGCCGTGTTTGTCGGCGTTGAGCCAGCAGTGGTGGACATGGTGTTGTGCGCCGTGAGTGGCCAAGGCGGCCGAAGGTGAGTAGTTGTAAATTGGGGGCCCCTGTCGTTGGTTTAGGTGCTGGTGGCCATGAGCCGAATTTAAAAGGAGAGCAGCCGCTGTTGGGTGCGGTTGCGGGCCGTTGGGGATATGTAGTTGTGGCGGGGCTGTAGAGAAGCCAAAAGGATAGTGAATCAGAGAAGCACCGAGGGCGGTATTGGAAGGGTGTTAAGGATTCATGGGTGACTGGGGTAGCCGACGTGTTTCAAGCCTTGCATTCCTTGATGCGCGGTTGGACGGGGGCTTGGCGGCGTCACTGGCGTCCATGAACTCTGGCTAGCCGCCGCCGTTTGAGCCAAACAGGCGCTGGGCCCAATCCATATGCATACCGACCAAACCAAGGGTACAAAGTAGGGTTTGTACACGTACATGTGTACAGGTGCGGCGGCAGTCGCTCTGTCCTTCTTTGAAGCCCTTGTCTTTGTCCATCCCCGCTGCTTTGCATCCATTGTCACAACGTAGCCTACAAAGCACTAACGAACATGTGCGTCTTTGTTGAATGCACGCGAGCAGTTGTACAGTACATGCAGCGCATATCAGTTGTGGCACCAACGTGGATCTGATCTGAGCCCTTGACCCCGTACTGTACTATGACGTTGAGCTGCATCCGTCCTACCAAGTAGTCGTCCCGTCTTGCCCAGTCGGTCTAGCACTAGTGAGCGCACCAGCCTCAATGGCCCCCCCACGAGCCGCCACGCACCGCCACCCTGTGGACCCCAGCGCCACACGCCAATCACTATAGTCATACGACGTTGCAACTTGTGCTTGATAGTGCGCCGTCAACTTCAGAGCCGGTTCTTGCCTTGTGAAACCAACCATGGCTCTGACAGAATCAAAAGGCCAACTTGAGGCATGTGCCATGGTACGCCTTCACACTACTTATACCTCAAGTTGGGCGCTCCCGCAGCTTTCGGCCCTTATCGCTTCTTGCTTGCAAGCCTCCAGGGTCTACCGTGAAGCGCTAGCCAACAGCGTGCAATTCAACCGCTCGCACTCAGACCTCTCTCCACCATGCCTGTGCACCTGTTGCAATTTCCCCCAATCATGTAGCAACCGGAAAACAATTGGGTAAACATTTCGGCTCCGCGTCTCGCCATGCCGGCTCGTGAAGTTTCTCGGGTTGAGACAAAGGTCTAGCCAAGGTCCTCACGATAGCAATCGCACCGCATGTTACCGTTTGACATTTACAAGACGACGACAATGCCTTGGTATCATATCGTCGGCAGCCACGTGCAACTCGCACACGTGCTGTCGCGAGGTCGGGGGTAGTCAGCACTACGCTCATTGGCTTGTATTTGCTTCAGGGGATCGCGTGTGCGTCATCACTGCGCGCCATGTTTCCTTCATCCTCTCAACATTTAGCAATTGCAAGTAACCAGTCGCTCTTATCTCTAAATCGCTGCAACAAATTACAAATTTGCGCGCAATGCGGACCTCGCGCATCGCCCGTGATACTTCCCGAATCTTGGCCGCGAGTCGCGCTCAGCGCGCCCAACGGCGAACACGGTCCGACATCAATGCATCAGCGTCCCTTGGTGACGCCAGTCACGTCAAGCAGGAAGCAGAAACTGGTGTGACTTCTCAATCCGGCCTCAAGAGAAGTTCGGCCCCAGCGGACTCGTATTCAGATGGTGAGACGCAATCAGCGCCCAAAAGAAGGAAAAAGGGGCAAGATGCATCCATTGCCGTAAAGCAGGAGGTCGAAGAGGCATCAATCAGCACAATTCCATCTCCAGTCAAAAATCCCAAAGTCAAGAAAGCACGCCGTACACCGGCAAAGAAGACCACGGCCAGTGATGGCACCGTCAAGATCGAGCCGCCTGCAAACTGGGAGGAGATATACGCCCTGACGAGGGAGATGCGGAACGAGAATGCAGCGCCTGTAGACACAATGGGCTGTGAGAGCTTAGCAGACAGGAGCCAGACACCGCGAGATCAGCGATTCCAGACGCTTATAGCATTAATGCTGAGCAGCCAAACCAAGGATACCGTCACAGCTCCTGTAATATGGGGAATGCAGGAGAGAATGCCAGGAGTTCGTCGCATATGATCCATTCAGTCCAGCTCCAGCTAACAGGTACCAGGGCTTCAATCTCGAATCCGTTCTCGCGCTCGATCCCACAGAGCTTAATGGCTACATTAACAAAGTAGGCTTTCACAACCTCAAGACCAAGTACATCAAGCAGACTGCAGAAATACTGAGAGACAAGTGGAACTCGGATATACCCGACACGATCGAAGGACTGGTCTCACTGCCAGGAGTAGGCCCGAAGATGGCACATCTCACAATGAGCGCAGCTTGGGGTCGGACTGAGGGTATCGGCGTTGATGTGCATGTCCATCGCATCACCAACCTTTGGGGCTGGCACAAGACACAACAGCCGGAGCAGACACGCGCAGCGTTGGAATCATGGCTACCCAAAGAGAAATGGCACGACATTAACAATCTGCTTGTAGGCTTTGGTCAGACAATATGCCTCCCAGTAGGCAGGAAATGTGGCGACTGTAAGCTGGCAGACAGAGGCTTGTGCCCATCAGCCGTAGTGGCAAAGCGTACAAAGGTTAAGAGGGAGGAGGCAGTCGTAAAAGTCGAGGCGCCTGAAGGCGACGCGATAGTGAAGAAGGAGGAAATTGTTGAGCATGTGGATGAGATCAAAGCCGAAGATGTGGAAAATGTGATCCCGGATATCGAGGACATTGGGAGAGAGCCACGCAAAAGAACGCGAAGGAAGCAGTAGACGCCCGTATCAGGAACACACTTTTCGCCTCAACAAGGACATCTGACGTGCGACCAGCTGTTTATTGCCCAAATAGAAGACCAAGTACTGCGCGTCACGTTTTCCGCGCCATTGTCGCGCTACAAATAAGCAAAGAGCCACGGTGGAGCTGACTTGCTACGCGCTTTATTTGCCCGACCCACAGGTTCCAGGGTTGCCCTGCACCTACCGCACCATCACCAACCCCAGGACATCCAAAGTGCATCGTTGCATCGGTGATGAGACAGTCCAGGCTTGTAACGCCCATGCACTCGCAGTACCACTTTCACCGTTTCCTCTTACTAAACTGCAAACGGCCCATCGCGCGCTTGTCAAGCGCAAACTACTGGTAGTTCACGCGCTAACCCAGCTCCTACTACAGTTCTTCACGTGAACATGTACTGATTCGACAAAATACAACCAACTTCCACAGCTTGCCCATCACTTTGAAAGACTGCAGAAGTCGGTCGCCTCTAGTAGTTGCTACAAGGAAGGTGGCGATATTAGGAGATCGGAGCCAGTACCTACAAGTGCTGCGCAGGATCTACTGCGAACGCCAACATGTCAACCAGAGAGCAGAACAGTACCTTTCGCCACAGTCCGTCGCGCTCCGGAGAAGCTGTCACAACCAAATCACACAAGCTGATCACATCGCCCAGGACCAAGCTTGATCGCGCACGTCCACGTGTCATGCTTCTCACGGCCTGCCTCGTCTATCTTACTACCACCCTCTTCGCCTTCCAGATCAGTGTCGCTAGCGTCCTCAACCTGATTTCACCAGAGTATGAGCGGTTCAATGACCAGCTTCTAGCGCATTCAAGTGCCTTGCGCAAGGAGCAGATCGTTTACGGCCGTCTAGATAATGTTCTGTCCACTGAGCTGAACCGCGGTTTCATGGAAACTTACGAAGACTGCCTTGTTCGTGGGCTCGAGAGAGCGAATCACGAACTTATCGGTCTTGGGTTCCGGTATCCTGATATCCGTGAGCAGGTCATGGAGTGGACAATAGAGAATTGTGGTAGATTGCAGTACGCACCACAGGTTGTGAATGAAGAGCCGACTCCACAAGAAGCCGTCTTGACGTATTGGGCGATTTTAAGCTATCGTGCTCGCCGGGTCGCTGGGGAAACTCTCAGTTTGGTCAAGAGAAAGCTTGGTTGGATTTTCTGCCGACTTCTGAGTTCTGGTCAGCGTGAAGACGCTTCTCGTCGTGTTGACGACACAGATACCGACGAAGATATGGGCACCAATGATTCTGTCTCTTCCGAGCGTGTTCTACCCCAAATCCCGTTTGGATTCGCCCTGCAATGTCAACCGGACCAGCCTTGCCGTCTGTTCTACCCAGCTGGTTCGACCACGGATTCTCAGGAGTTACACGTTTCGCCAGAAACTCTCAAGAAACTAGAGCAAAGGACAGCAGAATTATTTACTTTCAATACCACCCTTGATCAAATGAGATCAATCATTTCTCAAGCATCGCGTACAGCGGTATACCTGGAGATATTCTTTCTGTGTCTCTCTATCATTACGTTCATCTACAGTCTAATTATCAAGACTGATCCGTCGTATCCTCACCCTGGAACGGAGGCCACCTATCTAATCAAATCCATGATGATAGAACATCTCTCTGCCGCAGCAGCATTCACGCTCGACAGGTACCCTGGAATCTTTCCCAACATACGATCCGCTCTAGTCTTCGCCTTCATTATAACAACCCTCGGCTTAAGCATGGTCCTAAAGTTTCTCATCTCCAGATCACAACTAGAGACTATCCCCAACATCCTCCAATCGTTGCAAGAACTCTACCTGATTCTCAGAAACCGCGAAATCCCAGGCGAGGAATGCACTTCGGAAATTGGTGAGGGCAACACGGGTACCGAAGACAGAATCCCGAATCCCGAATCCACTTCACAAAAAAAGGAAAAAACCATAGCTTCCTCAATCCCCCGCGCGCCATTGAAATCCCACCACCGCTTCGCCGACCCAACAACAACTGTGCAAGAAGACATTAGACGCTCCCGCGAATTGCTCCGCCAAGAACGTACAAAGCAGCAAACAGCCAGTGATGATAGTGTAGGAGATGCGGGTTTCGATACCGATACGGAGTCCGAAAGCGATGCATTTGTCCATATCGCTATTGACGCGGCGCATCAAGTTAGTATCTCTGATGAACCGACGTGGTAACGATTTCATGGATTGAGTCGTACTAGTCAGAATTAGATAATGATGGGGGCATATCGGCGTTTTATTGGCTTGTTTGGAGATAGGCACATGGCGTTACTTTGGGGAAAATCAGATAGTGTGGCATTGTTTTTTTGTTTCCATGGTTGTACTTGATGGCTTTGGGGGGTTGCATGGGATGGTCATCTTGCTGAATTTCACGACAAGAAAAGTTGTAGATGCAAACCTGATTAGAGACTATCTTCGTAAATTTCAAATGAGCCGTATCATGAAAAGAGGTTGTTTCAGTAAGCCCTCGAAGACAGCCCAGCCTCGTACTAAAAATCAAAATCTTAAAAGGCTCCCTTACCTAACCACATACCAAGACGAGATAGTAGAAGAACCACCAGCACCAAAGCCAAACCTCATCTCCCTTTCTACCTCGCCCAACACATGCCCGCCTCACTTCCTCACCCCAACCCCCTTCAACAAATGCACAAACTCCGGCGCAACAAAGCCCCTCCCATCAACCCCATCCCCCAACCTCGCCCCCCTCTTCCTCTTCTTCCCCTCCTGCACCTCCCCTTCCCTCCTCCTCCTTTCCTCCTCCACTCTCCGTCTCTCCCCCAGCACCACCGCCCCAAAAGCCCCCATCTCATCCAGCCCCCCCTCAACCAACGGAATCCCAACTGTACCCCTGACATACTCGCCCTCAGACGCGAATACACCACCAGCCTGCGGAAACACGCCAACAGGCATGCCCAGCCTCGGCCTCACGTACTGATACGGTTCGACGTCTAGCTGTGCGGCTGAGCGCTTTTGCAGTAAGGGAGCGTGGGCGTCGAAGCGGGATCCCCAGGGTATGAGGGTTAGGTCGTGGAAGGCATGGCGGAAGGAGCGCCAGGCTAGCGCGAAGGGAGAGTTGCGGGGGCAGAGGGGGGTGACGTGGGAGGTGGAGGGGTGAGCGGGTGGAGGGGAGATGAGGGCGAGGAGGCGGAGTTTTTCGGCTTCGGTGTGGGTTTTGTATGGGTTCTTGTGGGCGCTGGTGCAGGAGGTTGCGTTGGTGGTGGTGGTAGTGGTGGGTAAAGGTGGAGTCGGGTTGGTTTTGACAGGTTGGTATTGTGCCAGGCCCCAGTACGTGTGTGGTTTTGTGTGGCTTTCTAGCAGGCCGATGTAGTATTTTGCGGTGATGTTGTTGGAGACGTCGTTCTGGACGAGTGTGATTTTGTAGTCGAAACCCGTGGTGTCTTGGTAGTAGTGGTATTCGGCTTTCCAGTGGGATTTAGCTTGTGTTCTCGAATCATCGAGTGTGGAAGAAGGGGTGGTAGGTGTGGGTGTTGTGCTCAATTTTGGAGGAACTGAAGTATGTTTCACTTCAGCGTCTTGCAATGCCGTTGCTCTCTCCGCCCGCCTACGTAGGAGATCCTCTTTTGCGGATACAAAGGGTGTAGGAGGTACGGGTGCAGAAGTAGGCGCTGAAGAAGAGGAAGGAGAAGAAAAGAAGAAACTCCTACTCTGCCTCGGCTTACGCCTAGTACCCGTAGAATTCTTACACGTACCTGAACCTGTCAACTTCCTAATCTCCTCACATCCCTCCCGAAACTTCTTACCATCAGCCTCGGCACCAAGTCTCTTCAGCTGCTTAGCTAAATGGCGCTTCTTGCTCAGGGCTCCCCGTTCATAACTCTTGACGGGGAGTTTCTTGCGGGCGTGCAGAGAGTCGTCAAGCCAGTCGTAGCTGAGGATTTGGATACCAAGTGAGAGTGCTTGGCGCACTGCTTCAGTGCGTTGTTTGGATTTGTATGCCTCTTCGCTAGCGAGGAGGTGGGTGACACCTTCGTGGATAGTGGGCGAGTAGTGGCCGTCATTACGCTCGATCCAGCCTTGAATTTGCTTGGATGTGTACACGTGGGTACCTGTTGTGGCGATGATGAGGTTCTTTAGGATCCCCATTGTGAAGACTGGAGTGGAGGATGAGTGCTCTGGACAGTGGTGCTGAAGAGGATGGTAATAGTATCGATGTGGACGAGGTCACTGCCTACTTGTCTCAGAGCTGATTGCATCATCTCTGGGAGTTGTTTTACTTTGCGGTGGTTTTCAGTGCTCGGGGTGATATTGGGTCTGTCTATGCGGTGACGCTGCTGTTACAAGGTAAAACACCATTGCCAACTCACACGATCGACCCCACTCGGACCGCATTATTTACGGTAAACTATCCCATAAATCAATGCAAGATAGCATCGAGGCCAAGTTGAAACACCAAGACTGTATCCTATCAATCAAAATCCAGAAGCAGGGTATTGTTAAACACGTTTTATTTGAGTGAAAAGCCTCGATCTAGATACTTTGTGAACAATGCGTCTTCATGAGACTTGTCTACAAACTCTTAGCCGCCTTCACAAATGAACGAATCTTGTCCAAGCTCTGCTGACCATCCTCCTCAACGCCACTGCTGACATCAACTGCATAGACCCGGTCTCGGTATTCATCAAGCCCGGCGAGCGTCGTCTGCACGTTGTCCGGGTTCAAGCCCCCTGCCAGTATGATCTTGATGCCATCATCCTTGGTAAATGCTGCCTTGACATCTGACAATCCCAGTTGCTTGCCAGAGCCTCCCGAACCAGCATCCAGCAAGGGAAGAGCGTGGTAACCTCTTGTGCCGATGCCATGGTCTTGCGGGTTAAACGCCTTCAGAACAGGAACGGGGACAAGCTTCGCCCACTCGATTGGCTCTTGGCCGTGGAATTGTACAACATCCAGATTCAGCAATCGCTGCTGCTCAAGCACATACTCTAGCGATTGATTGCGGAAGACTCCCACGAGCAGCGCACGACTATCGTTTCCAACAAGCCGTGATGCGCCGTGATCAAAAAAGTCGGACGCAGTCTTTGAGTCGGCCAGGAGTCCTGATTTGGAGACATTCGGCTTCTTGGTTTTGTGGACTGCTTCAGATATCGCAAGGGCCGTCTCTGCTGTTACTGTTCGCTTAAGTCCAGGAGCAAGAATAATGCCGATAAGATCGGCTCCCGCTTCAACTGCAGCTACGGCAGCCTCTACACTTCGTGTCCCACAGATTTTGACCATTGGACTAGATGATGCCCGAACTTCCTTGGTAGTGGTTCCGCCTAGAAGCTCTGAAATGAATTGTGCAGTGTTTGACGCCCGCATGAGCGCTTCTCCAACTAAAACTGCACCAACCCCACTTTTGATGTACGGCTCTACATCTTTGGGGCCAGCGATACCACTCAGAGCGCACAAAATTGTCTCTTTCGGGACCATGTTGATCAAGCGGTTCGTTGTTTCCATGTCGACCTCGAAGTTTACCAGGTTCCGGTTGTTCACGCCGATAACCTGGGCGCCCAGCTTGACTGCAATCTCAGTTTCGTCAGCATTCTGCACCTCAACAAGGGGCTCCATTCCGAGTGATCTGGAGTAGTCGTAGAGCCTCTTCAGGACCGGCTCCTCTAGCATTTTTACAATCAGCAACACCGTATCCGCACCCGCAAGCCTAGCCTCGAGGATCTGGTATTCGTCGAAAATGAATTCCTTGCGCAGCACGGCAGGCCGATTCGGCATGCCTTCGATGCTTTGTCGAACGGCCTTGAGGTCCTCGATGCTACCCTTGAACCATTCGGGTTCTGTGAGGACAGAAATGGTGCTAGCGCCAGCTTTGGCATATAATCTGGCTTGAGCAGGCGCACACGTCGACAGGGAAATGATGCCTTTGGAAGGCGACGCACGCTTGATCTCGGACATGAGCGAGAGTCTGAAAGGAGATTGTCTAAGACGCTCTGGAAAGTTGATCTGCGGCGGGGCCAAGTTCAGGTCATATGCAGCCTGTAAATCAACAGGTCTTTGAGAAGGGATCTTCTTCTGCTCAGCAACGGCTGCCCTGCGGTGATCGTAAATCTTTTCCAAGATGGAGGTCTGCTTGTCCTTCTTTGCACCGTTGGCGGTGTCGCTGGAAGCAGCCCCAATTGCTTGGGCATGTGCCTCTTTCTGCAGTCGGTCATTCTCAGCCCACGTGCCTCCTTGCATCTTGAGGAAGTTTCTCATCATGAGACGTCCATGCTCGGTCAGAATGCTCTCTGGATGAAACTGCACGCCTTCAATCACATACTCCTTGTGGCGAACACCCATGATGACCTCCTTGATCTCGGCATCTGCATTTGCGGGAATGGTTGCAGTAATCTCAAGGCAGTCTGGAAGTGTGCCGTGAGTACCAGCGAGAGAATGATACCTAGTAACCGGGACATCCTGGGGCACGCCTGCAAAAACACCCTTGGCGTCGTGCTTGAGAGGGGATGTTTTTCCGTGGAGAATCTGACCAGTAACGTCTACGGTGCCTCCATAGCTGTAGAAGATGCACTGTCTGCAGTGTGTTAATAACGTGCCGTCCACGCCATACGAGGATTCGTGATGGTATGCACCAGCATTGCTCAAAGACGCTGCACAGCGAATGCCAAACACAGGATTCAACCGATGGAAAAGAAAAGGACAGAAACTCACTCTCCCATGCACACGCCCAAAATGGGGATTTTGCCACTGAAGTGCTTAATGGCTGCATTGCTAATGCCAGCGTCCTTTTCCGGGTGTCCGGGACCTGGGCTAATGACAAGCTGAGTGGGCTTCTTCGCGATGAGCTCATCGAGAGTAATCTCATCATTGCGATAGACGGTTACGAATGCGCCTTCAAAGACAAGGTACTGATAGACGTTCCAGGTGAAAGAGTCGTAGTTGTCAATGAGGATCACATTGGAGGCGGTGGGTATCGGCGGAGAGGGGTTTGGATTGCGAGGCGAGTGGTCAATCAAGTCGAGGGATGGCATTTTGGGGGAGGTAGTGAGACTGCTCCGACAACGGGCCAGGAAAGGTGGTATATAACTTTTTATCGGGACCACCTCCGGCACTTGGGCAACGGCACAGGATTTCGGTGCTTTGCCGGGGATATACGTTGTATTTGGCGGGGTGTTGAGGTGGGATGCAGGTGGAAAAGAGTGTACGGGCGGGCAGTGCGGTGGGGTGAGGTGAGTCAAGGATGTGTCAATGAGATGTAGTATATTGAGGCTGCGGAGTTAACACGGAGGTGACACGCATTAGTCCTGGGTGCCATTGCAGGGCAAGAAAATCACGGCAGGTGGGCAGCGAGTGCGGCACACATGTACAATACACAGGCAGCGGAATGCGACTATGCTGCATGACACTACACTGCACTTGACTGCATTGTGCCGGCGTGTTGAGACGAGAGCATGCCATGGCCATGTGTAGTGCACGTAGAGGGCAAAGTTGGGTGGTCCTGATCCCTGCACGTGCTAGCCCGACTTTCGCGTGAGCTTTGGGTTTGGCGACTGTGCAGACATTCCAGACAGACATTCACGTCGACGCCAAACAGACGGCCATTGCCCACCCGCGTCCCAACACCCCCTTCATGGCCTTTGGCTAGCTGGCCTACACGTCGCGCACCCCAGCGCAAACATGGCCCCCCTCCAATCGCCCGACTTCGACCTGGCAAAGTGCCTCAACGGCGAGCAGCAGCTGGTGTATGTTTACCGCCCCGTCCTCTTTCTCTCCACCACCCACCACCCTTCTGACACACTCTTCCAGCACCTGGGACGTCGCATACCGCGCCCTCTGCGACCCTGCAACCGCGTCCAAAAGCGACGCCCTACGCGCCTTCCTCTCCACCAAGGAAAACATCGACACCCTCACCCACCCATGGCGGCCCTTCCCAGACCCGTCGTCGCAGGAAAAGTCAAAGTTTGAATCCAAGACAGCGCCTATCAGCGTCACTCCCGCCCAAAGCGACCACTATGATGTAGAGGAGATCAAAGAAGACAGCCTGTGGCTGGCCAAGGAAGCGCAAATCTCGGAATACGCAGCCTTGCAGCTTGTTGTGCAGGAATGGCAGGGTCGCCCTGCCGCCCAGCTGCTGAGTGGCCTGACGGAAGAGGAGGCGCTCAGCGTGCAAGACGCGGCCGGAATCGCCAACCTAGGCGCCTCGACCTTTGTCCCAAACTCGTCCCTCCTCGCAACACCGCTCGCTTCCAAGACCGCCCACCTCGATACAAAGAACCAACGCCGTCTGCACATCCTCGACATCTACCACTCGACCTGTGCCTCCATCATTCGCATAAGCCAGCTTCTGGTCTCGTGGGGCTGCGCATCCAATCTGCGCAATCAGACCATATATGGCACCGAATACCTCAGCATTGGCGCCGGATGGATTGAAGAGCTCGGCCAGACTATCGCGGCAGCACAGGACGGTCCCTCGGGTGGAAAGGCGCTAGACGAATGTCTCAAGGCCTTTTCAAAGAGGTGTGATTCCTTGGATACCGGCTATGCGTGGAATGTGGACGACTCAATACTCGAAGCAGCATCCGAGAAGTGGGTCGTTGCCCAAACCACCGAGTTGCTACACATTCTCCATTTGGCACTAGTACATGCCGATTTAGTTGCAAAAGACTTCCTTCCGGCGGCCACGATTGAAGACTGGCTCAAGGCCTTCAGTTGCCGTGGCTTCTTTCGCGAATTCCCCGCAGTCACCGCTCGCCAGGAGCCTCTTATCCCCGTCATTCAGCTCTTGACTTCACTCATGTCCCTGACTATCTTGAAGGTCGACAAGATTATGGACGACCTCGAATCTGGCGATTGCAACACCTGGCATTCTTCGTCGTACATCTTAAACACCAATATTGTGGAGACCATCACGACCATATTCGGAGAGGCCAAGGTATTAGGTGCTAGTCCTGCCACACCACCCATGTTTGCTTGGGCCCTCGTAACGTGGAAACTTACAAGCCGTGCGAGCTACGAGGAGCAAGAACGCGACCGTCTCCTCGAATCATCAAACGGCGCCGGAAACACTGAGTCCGAGCCTTCAACCCTTGAGGAGGCTGCTTTGGTAATTACAAAACTCGAGAATCACGAGTTGTTTGACGGCAAGATGCCCTACGAAGACCTCGCTACCGTCAGCTCAGCAGCAGGTGTTCTGGCCATCATCAACCAGCTTGTCGAAATCAGTCTCCCGGCGTTTGGCACGTCCATTGATCGGATATCTCAGGACAGAGTTCGATTGCTGTTCCTTCACGTAGTTCGCGCTGCTGTTGGGAGCGAGATTGTTGCATATAGTCCAGATCTCATTGTCACAACATACACTATTCTGGCTGGCGATAATACGTTTCGCCGGTGGGACAATGGTCAATTCGCCCGACATGCCGATCCAATTGTGGCATACTTCCTCGAGGATGAATACATCCTTAGGCCAATGTTGCTCAACGAGGCCCGTTTGCGATATCCCTATGAGATGACACCATTTCTGAAATTTTGCAGCGCATTGACTCGTGGAGACAAGACGATGCAGAACGGCATGCCTTCGTTTGTTGATAAGCTTGCGAACCACAACCGCTTGATGCAACGCCTTCCAGATGGATTCCGTGATTATCAGCTAACGCGTGAAGAGGAGAATGCCAACTGGGTAGAACTTACCGCTGATCTCCCCTTGTTTTCTTCTGCAGGCTCATCCACCTTTGGTGCCCAGCGTCGCTTGATGGCCTCGGGCACTTCAAGACACGCACACGGCTTCTCAACTATTCCGGCTGGCACAGAAGGCATCATAGTTGACGACAACTCACAACCATATGTAGCTGTCTGGCATCACCAGCACTCTACCTTGTCATACCTTGTCGAACTTCTTTCAACATATCCCGTCGGAAGCAGCAAAGTTGAGACTGCTACCCAGCAACCTGCGTCTCGTGAGGATGTCGTAGAAGTCATTGGTCTTTTTGCTGACCTGATACACTCATCCTTGCACTCATCCGAGGGTATCTGCTCACCTGAGCTTCTAGAGGCAATCGGTATCGGAGCTGAGGGCAGTGCAGACACTGTTAACATTGTGCTCGCGATTTTCGAAGAAGAACTCTTATATCTCTGCCAGGAACCCAGCAATGAGGTGTCTTTGGAGCTATTGGTCAACTGCACTCATTTCTTGGAAGCTTTGGTCATTGTTTCCCCTCAAAGAGTATGGCCATGGCTCGCCAGGAGCAGGTTATTGGAGGGCGATGGCAACGGAAGCTTGGCAACCATTCTAATCAGCACTGAGATGGTTCTTGGGCGATATGACTTCCTTCTTGGATGTATTCGACTCTACAAGGGTCTTGTCAAAGACGCTGTCGATCGATCCGTGTCCCGCAAAGTTCCCACAAAGGCGCTCAGTCGGTTCAATGCATCGGCTCCCGCCGACAGCGGTACTTCGGACAAGATTATGAGCACCATTCTGTTCACTTTTGGTCGCACTCTTGCCAGTATATACGAGAACTCGCTCAACTGGAAGTACTCGCAGCCGGACCACCGCCCCGAAATCAACACTACCATTTGCGAAGTCTTCACCACAATCTTGAGTCTTACATACAGTGTAGATGATGCGCCAAAGCTGTCTACCAAGCTCACGAAATCGATTGCACCCATTGCTGAATATCTCACCCAACTCTATCTTGCTGGCTCCGACACCAATCTGCCTACAAACCCGCTCATGACATCTTTGATCATCGGGGTCAGTCCCAACGACAACACCTTGCTCACAACTTCAGGTGCACTATGGACTCAACAGACGCAAAGCACCTTGGCATTTGCCGACCTACTTGTCCGAGTTGCCATGCTACTTAATAAGCCCTGGACTCATCTGGAGCAACAGCTCTTCAAAGCAACACCGTTATTAGCCCGACTGTACGCCACGAGTGACAAGTGGAAGTCCCAGGTTGTGCTGTTGTTGGAAGCTCTGGTTCGTGGCGCGGTCCGTGTTACAACCCAGGAAGATTCGGAAACGGCCGACAAGAAGACTGAGCAGCGAGAACCGCCTTCGCTACTAGGCCATCTGGGACCACGAACTGCGAAGAACTTTCTCAGTGTACTTTCTCGACTAGATGAGCCGCTAAAGATAGTGGACATCCAACGGAATGTGTGGAACTTACTTTCAGCCGTAGTAACGTGCAAGCAGCAGTGGTTCTCTCTGTATCTGCTTACTGGAAACACTCCACGAGAAACGATTCGAAGCAAAAGAAACGTGGCCCAGGATTCAAGGAATAAAGCCCTGCTCACACGAGCTTTCGATGCGCTGTCAAGTATGACTCTCCCAGAGAAGGAGCCTACCGGCGTTTCATGGCCGCTGTTTACAGCCATGCTCGAGTTCGTCTCTTCAGCGCAAAACAACTGGTCATGGGCAATGGGCGACTTACGGCAGCGTAAAGACTTGATTCAGAAATTGCTCGCATTCCTCAAATGGATGGCAAAGCAGTCCAAACAACCGCGAATGAGCAGCAATGAAGAGACGCTGGAGCGATCGTTCCAAAACAAGTTCGCATCTCTCGCCTGCGAAGTCATTGCTATGTACCTACACAGCTCGCGGCAGGTCGGTGACATTACCGTACTGAAAGATATCGTCCCCAGCTTGACGTACTTGGAAGATACCGCTTTGGATCTGCCATCTTACAGTACGTCGCTGCACGGATATTTGAAGCAGAACCTGGAGCAACAGTACCCTGGTGTCTCTCTAACGAACCTCAAGCGGACCACTTTGTACCCTGAGACCTTTGGCCGGGCATTCTTCTATGACATTGATCTCGCTCAACAACTTCTGGGTTTCAACAGCAAGTGGGCTGGCCCTAGGGAGGGCACAGGTTTCGCATCTGAAGTCGAGAAGGCAAACTATAACCTAGGACTCGTGGAATCCCAAGTCTTGTTGCTTCAAGGCTGGAAACTGTTAGCTCTGGAGCTTAGCCAGGTGGTAGCGAAGGACGATCGAATCGTTAAGGTCCTCATTGGTGTTGTTCAAAAGTGCATGACTGCCAATACCCAGTCGAACCTCCCAGAAGCATTGTTTGGTCAGCTCATGGTCGTGCGAGCGGATTTGGCATTTGCCCTACTGAAGAAGCTCGTAGAGGCCAAGGTCCGGACTACAGAAGCGCGCCAATTACTCGGCCCAATATGGAGCGCCATTCGCGCCTCTACTCCAGACTTCGATAGCGTCTTCTCCAGCGACTCGGTCTATTACTACCGGTCTTTGCTGCGGATCCTCTACCTCGCTCTTCACTTCCATCTGATTGAGGATACCGACCAGTCCAGCGATGCCTCATTCCGCTCAAGCTTCCGTGGCACTATGCCGAGCAGTCACAACAGCTACACTGAGCCCATCTCCACACAGCTCCTCGAAATTCTGACCGATACAGTAGCCAAGGGGTTCCGTAGCTTGGCCACACAGCTACACGCGGAACCCTTGTCCGTCTTACCGTCAGACTTTGCTCTCCTCACCGCGCTGCTACAGCGTATCATCGCAATACCAGAAATGTCCAAGTGGCAGCAACAAGCAGCGCTTCTCTTTGCAAACAACAACACAGTACGCTATGCCACCAGCCTTTTCTCTTGGGCCGATCGCCTCGCAATATCACACAACGGCGTAGATGATCCCATCTACGGCGAGCTAAGCATCCTCTTCTTGCTCTCGTTATCCAGCATCCAAGCTCTAGCCGAGACCATGGCTGTCGAAGGTATCCTCAGCCAACTTAACACGGCAAACATTATGAACTACTACCGTCGCGTAAACGGCACTGGTCCCTTTGACAGCCCGGTTCGCATGTACTCTGTCTGGACCAAGGGAATTCTTCCCCTCTGCCTCAACCTTCTCTTATCCGTCGGGCCCCCCATTGCTGGCGAGATTTCCTCATTCCTCAACCAATTTCCTGAACAGTTGGCCCGCTCGGCATCAAGCATCAACTCGTCAAATTCATCGTCACGTCTCATAGCCAATAGCAACAAGATCACGCTTTCTGTGGCATCTGAAATACATAGTTTGGCCCTTATCGCCGCGATCCTAGAAAACGTGCGCAAACAAGGGCCGAAGCTAGGTATTCAGGCCAACGAAGTGGCGCTTCTGGAATGGGAAAAGGATGCCGTCAAAGAAGATGTTGAGAGTTGGTTATCGCGTAAGAGTGCGCTTAGAGAACGTCTCGTTGCGGTTGATGAAAAGGAGTTGGACATGCTGAATCGCGTCAAGGGCAAGGGAGAGGATGCGCCGAGTGAATTAGAAGAGAGGGTCGTGGGAGAACTCGAGGATGCAAGGACATGTATGGTTGGGGGCGCGAATGGTGGTGGAAGTGGTAATGGGGACAGTACAAGGAAGTAAAAGGGACTTGTCAAGGTAGTTTTGTAATGTTTTCCCTTTAACTACCGTAGGATATGGGACAATGCGGGCTTATGCACTTCCTGTTCTTTTTGATAGAAAAGCAATGATGGTAGTTTTTCCTTTACTTTTTGGAGGGTTCATGCTTTTCCCTTTTGCGCAAGGCCAGGTACTAAAAAAGCAGGCGCACAACTCTAGGGCTCTTTGCATATCGCTTCGAAGCTAAACAGCTGAGGATATTGCACACGGACAAGCACTCTCGGGAATAAGGTTCGAGGTACTAAATCGCCTTGTAGATTACCTAAAAGAGACGGATTGGGTGATCAGCATTACGTCACATGTCAGACTCTCAGGACAGGTTTAAGAGCAATCATCGTAAGACGGTGGCCTCAATATGCGCGTGGTCTCAGAAGCGTAGTAGCATGCTAGATTTGTCAAAGACATGTGTGTGTGTGTGTGTGTGTGTGTGTGTGTGTGTAATCGCATTGCGATCACAACGTGCAGATGTCACTGGGGGAATGTTGGAAAAAAGAGCATGCCTCGGGAGTTTGCCTGTTCCTGTCCCATTGGTGACGTGACTATGCGCGGCTCAGAAGGCTGGGCGGGTTCAACAGGGTCTCGCAGTCATTTAACTTCCTGGTCTCCCCACAACAAAACAAGCTTGCGACGGGCTCGAGATAATTGTTGTTAAGCCTTCGAGTCGATTGCATCTTGATTCTAAAGCTGTCAGCCTCGGCTTATACAAGAATCGCAAGGCAGCCAAGCCTGCAACCCAACGGCACTTCTCTTCCGTAGCTTCCGCGGTTGTTCTTTCAGCTCCACCGCGGCATCCCGAAACCATCGCTTCTTCTCGCTACCAAGCTACCCCAGCAATCTCCGACATGTCGCAGAATTACCAGCAATACGGTGGGAATCCTTATGGCCAGGCCGAAGAATACGGTGCGCATTCGAATCCATATGGCGGGGGCGGCGGCTATGGCTCGTCCAACCCATATGGCGGAGGTGTAAGTAGTCGCATTCCATAACACGACAAGACAAGACTAATGCGACAGCATAGTATGACGAGCCACAGCAGCAGCAGCTAAACCCTCCAGCGCCTCTTCAGCGCCATGGCGAGTCCAATTACTCGCAGCCGTCGCAATACTCGCAGGCTGGTGCCTTGAGCCCAGCGCAAACGAATGGACAAAATGTCCCTCATACAGACGTACCCCTCAACGGCTTACCCGGCCAAGGCAATACCATGGAGGCTCCCGGGTCCCAGCCTCTGAGCCGAGATGACTTCTTCACGCGCATTGAAGGCGCAAAGCAGCACATCGGTCAGCTTACTTCGGACATCCAAGCCATTGCCAGTATTCACCAGCGCATGCTCTCCTCGCCCGACAACCGGTCCAGTGCTGAACTGGAAGCCGTTGTAACCAACACGCAGATCAGGAACACACAAATCAAAGACGAGATCAAGTTTCTGGAAAAGGACGCCTTGCGCGACCCCAATGACAGGACAAAGAAGTCTCAGGTCGAGGCGCTCAAGAGGACCTTCAAGAGCCAGCTCGAGGACTTTCAAAAGGAAGAGGCTGATTATTCCAAGAGGTACCGCGAGGCTATTGGCAGGCAGTACCGTATCATCAACCCAGATGCTACGGATGCCGAAGTCGAAGAGGTAGCCAATTCCGATTTGGGCGACGAGGGTATCTTTACCCAAGCTGTAAGTGCAAACCACAAGCCATGTAGCAAATAAAAAAATCCCTCATCTAACATCTCAACAGCTTAAATCAAACCGCAGCGGTCAAGCAGCAAGCGTCCTCGGCGCCGTCCGCGCCCGCCACAACGACATCCAGCGCATCGAAAAGACAATGAGCGAGCTCGCCCTCCTTTTCACCCAACTCAATGAACAAGTCATGTACCAAGAACCGCAAATCCAGCAGGCCGAGCAGCAAACGGTCCAAGTCAAAGACGATACCGAAAACGCAAACAAGCAGCTAGAAGAGGGTATCAAGTCTGCGAGGCGAGCGCGAAAACTCAAATGGTACATTCTTCTTACCGTGATTGCTATCCTGTGCGTTATCGCGCTCGTGCTGGGGCTTTACTTTGGGTTGAAGAAGAACTAGGTGGAATAGCGGTGTACTAAGGGGGGGGGGGGTTGATGATGGCGTATGTACATAACGAGCTTCTGGGAATGAGGGATGAATGGGTATGGATATGGATTTGGGATAAATGCGGGGAGCTTAAATGGTTCCTTTTACTTTTCTTCCTTATACTATGATAATAAGGTAATTAATTCTGAGATGACAATGCTGCGACATCACGTATGCTGTGGAGCGAAGAGGAGATGCGAATCATGAGTCATCTGGGGTAAGGTAATGGGGTATGAGGAGAAGGGGAAAAATCGAATATTATGATGTCGATGGAATTGTGAATTCCATCCTACTGTAGTAGTTTGCAGGAAGAATATATCGGAAGGGGTGTATCACATGCCTTCTCTCGCAATGAAAGCCAGAGAGGATTGAGGCAAAGCGAAAAAAGCATAATATCCAAAAACACGGTTACGAGATTAGTAAAACGAGGGAAGGTGCGATGGCGACAAGTTGCATGCGATAGTGTGGTAAAAGACGAGGTGGCGCTTGTCGTATTTTAGTGGCAGTCTAGAAGGAGCTGGGGAACGAATGGTTATTTTTGGGGCGCTTGGGGAAGCGGCGGTGGCGAGAGCGCGTATGGAATCAATGGTTTTGGGGTAGGGTCGTGTGGCTGTGTGCTTTTGGTGGGACTGAGGAATACGGCGTGGGATTGTTGGTGATGGTGTTGCATACGAAGATGGATTCGGGGGTGTTTTTGGTACGAGAGTGGTCCTTGTACGTTGCAGTGAGGTTGTCGTGTAGGTGACCAAGGCGAAATATTCGCCAACGGTCTTTTTTTCAGCGCAAGCGCAAAGGGTCTGCGTAGAGATATGCAGCTAGGTTATGTAGGTAGGTGGTATTTTGATACACTCCATCCGAATGCAAAGGGCCGCATGCACGTACACCTCCTATCTTTCCCTGTGCAGAAGTGCCGCATCGGACAACACAACTCGTAAAAACCCCATAGTTTAAAATATGGATAGTCAGGGACGCTCAACGCGGCATTCAAATCAGACACGGTGACGAAAGACACCGCATCGCAAGAACCACTAAGCATAATTCGATCAGCAACAAAAGTGGATCTCAACGTATGGAAGCTGAAACCGAAGCATATTGGTGTTTTGGCACCTTGCCACAGCAGGCAAAAAATAAGTCTCGTGTCTGCACACCCCCAAGTCCGCAAGTATGCATGGTTACATGCAGGTGATTTTTCATTGTTATCGCGGGAACATGTCATCATCCTCCCGTTGCATTCGTGCAGGAAAAAAATCCTGCTAACAAAATCCTCCCGTCTTTCTTGTCCCAGGAAAGCTAATCTCGGGCCCGGGCGGGGGGGGAGGGAGGACATGGCGCTAGGTAGGGTGATGACGATACAAGGGGGGTTATATGCCTGCATGGTTGTTCCGATCGGCCATTTGCAACAACCAAAAAGGTGGGGGAGGCGACAATGGAAGATAGGTAAAGAAGTGATTGACGGGCTAACGCGTGTCTCGTTCCCACTCTTTTTTTTGATCATAGGCAGAAGGATTGCGGGCAGTCGATCCAAGCATCGTCGCCACGGCTTGGAAAGAGCTTACTGGGGGCCCTAGTCTGCGCTTGAGTGAATCTTGGCGCCTTAGTCAGGGGTTGGCGGTTTTGTAACTGGCGCGTGTGGCCAATCAGCGGGGCTAGACGTATGTCCCGCTAAAATTGGACGCGTCGCCTTTCTGCGTCTGGCATTGTCTGGGGCCGGCGCCAGCGGTATTAATCTTGTTCGCGGACAGTCCACCCCCCGTCCTTGTTCATTCATAACCTTTCATTGCGTCTGTCGCTTTCTCTCTAGCCACAACCACCTTTCTTCTTCTTCCCTTTTCACTTTCACCTAATTTCCATTGCAACTTCGTACACTCGTTTTACACGGGGGTTGCTTTTTGCTCGCTGTCTCCCCGACTACGCTTTCCCTCCACACTCGCTTGCTTTCGCTACTCAACCCAACGACGGTTCGTAATCCGCATCATCAGCTACATCATGAAGTCCTACATCTTTGCAGTCGCTCTAGCGGCGGCTGCTGCTGCCAAGCCGACGACAGAACAGAAGCGTGCTTCCAGTTCCAGTATCACTCCAGTGACCGTCAAGGGAAATGGTATGTTCTTGTTTGTGAATGGAGGTGTTGCTGCGATTGCTGACTGAAGCCAGCTTTCTGGACCGGCAACGAGCGCTTCTACATCCGTGGTGTTGACTACCAGCCCGGTGGCGCATCCGAAGCAAAGGACCCCATTGCCGACGAGGATGGCTGCAAGCGTGACATCGCCAAGTTCAAGGAGCTCGGCATCAACACGGTCCGTGTCTACACTGTTGACAACAGTGCTAACCACGACACCTGCATGGGTCTCCTCGCCGACGCCGGCATCTACCTGGCTCTCGACGTCAACACGCCCAAGTACTCGATCAACCGTGCGGACCCCCAGAAGTCGTACAACAAGGTCTACCTCCAGAGCGTGTTCGCTACCGTCGAGATGTTCGCCAAGTACGACAACACTCTGTTGTTCTTCTCTGGAAACGAAGTCATCAACGACGACAATACGACTGACTGCGCTCCTTACGTCAAGGCTGTCACTCGTGACCTCAAGTCATACATGAACGCCCGTGGTCTCCGCAAGGTTCCCGTCGGTTACTCTGCCGCCGATGTCGAGTCCAACCGCTACGAGATGGCCGACTACATGAACTGCGGCGACGACTCTGTCCGCAGCGACTTTTTCGCTTTCAACGACTACTCCTGGTGCGATCCCTCTTCGTATGTGACATCTGGCTGGAACATCAAGGTTCAGAAGTTTTCCAACTACAGCATCCCCATTTTGTGAGTGTTTCCCCCTTTAAACCTAAAAATAAGCACTAGCGTTTTCTAACACTACAAAAAGCCTCTCCGAGTACGGCTGCAACACCAACACGCGCAAGTTCGAAGAAGTAAAGTCTCTCTACGGCCAAAACATGACCAAGGTCTACAGCGGCGGCCTCGTCTACGAGTACTCGCAAGAAGCGTCCAAATACGGCCTCGTCGAGATCAACGGCGACTCCGTCGAGGAACTCCCCGACTTCACTGCCCTCAAGTCCGCCTACGCGGGTACTCCCAACCCTACTGGTGACGGCGGCTACCTCGCCAACGGCCAGGCATCGCAGTGCCCGTCTCAGTCCAGCACCTGGGATGTTACTCTCAAGAGCAACGAGTTGCCCAGCCTGCCTGATGGTGCCAAGGATTTCTTCGACAAGGGCGCTGGTGCTGGTCCTGGTCTCACGGGTGACGGATCGCAGGATGCCGGTTCTTCCACCCCGAACATTGGTGATGCAAGTGCCGGTGCTGTTACCTCTGGTGGCAGCACACCTACCTCTACCAGCTCTTCCACCCACTCTGCTGGCGCGGCTGCTAATGTGCGTCCTATGAGCTTCGGTCTTGCACCTATTGTCTGCGGTGCTGTTGTGCTTGCTTCTTCGCTTTTCGGCGGCGCACTTGTCTTGTAAGATATTCACTAGCACGCTTTACCGACCCTTTTTCTCGAGCGGGGGTTGTTATATCAAAACTCAATTTTTTTTTAACTACCACATTTTTTGTTATGTCGCGCGCTTCTCCTAGATTATTTTATCATCCAGACCCGTTTTTTATTCTTTATAAAGAAACGGCTCGTAGATCAATGTAGTGCAACGACCCAGTGCGGGCAACGTTTTTTTTTATTTGTTAGTTTTTAAAGCTATCTAGGGCATTTTAGACGTGAGAATTACATATCCCTTTTGTTCGTACTCTTGTGTTCAACACTTTGATATGCCAAATTCACACACACACACACACACACACACACACACACACACACACACCCCTTGTCTTCCCTTTCTGGTCTTGCTTCTAATCAGTGTGGAAGTTAAGTGTATTCATTTTTTTAGCGCATTCACGTTACTGCAAGCAACATCAAAGTCCCATAGAATCCCCAAAAGAAAACAGACTTTTTTTTAAAAAAAAAGAGAACATGCACATATAAACACAAAGATGTATATCTCATCCAGTTGCAACCTACGCTCAGTTAAGAAACAAAGTAAATTTTTCTTGAGGGGGAACTCGTAACAAATGTTCAGCCTAAAAAGAAGAAGAAAAAAAGTTGCCAACCCTGTTGGTAGCTTCAAAAAGTCCCAGCATATAACAATATCTATCAGCTATAACTAAACGATTCATGCTATAAAGAAGAAGGAGAACACAGATCTGAGACTCTTAGCCTTCCCCCCTTCCCCCCCTCCTTCCCTGGCGCATGGAAAGAATGTCAACCTTTCCTTCGAGTATATGTATATACCTGTAATTAAGACCAGACTTGAGACATGTAACGGAAAGACGAAAAAAAAAAGTCCAAGCCAACGTCCAGTGTTGAAGACTTTTTTTAAGAAAATACATAAGAGTTTTTTTGGGGCTNGGGGGGGGGGAAGGAGGGGGGCTAATGTTATGTTCGAACAAGTCCCACATTAATCTACAAGTAGTATGTATAAGCATGAGTTTTTTAAAAAAAAAAGATAGGCCAGTAAATTATCAAGCATATGTTTATGGCATTTGTATGTATGTGTGTGTGTGTATGTATCGTTCATTTACTAGATTTCAAAAACACCACCCATACCCACTCGTACATCAACGAGATCAGGTCTCCAGCCCTTAAACTGCACAAGTCCCCTCTTAACTTCGCGCACGCGCTCGAGGCGGTTCTTTGCCTCCTCCTCCTGCGCGCGTCTGAAGGCATCTTCGTCGATTTCAAACTCGTCGAGGCTGCCCAGACTCTCTTGTCGGGGCTTGGGCTTGTTAGCTGCGTCGCTTCGGCGGTGGTGAGCGGGGTTTTGGCCGGTGAATGCTGAGATGCCGGATTGGATGACGTCTTGGAAGGAGGAGTGGGTGCGGTTGGGTGGGGGTTGGCGTGAGGGTGCGCCAGAGAGGTCAATGTCGTCGAAGTTGTTGGGGTCCGCTTGGTCGTCGATTGAGGGTTGCATGTCGCGGCGACGGTCGCGCCATACGCCGCGGCGGAGCTCAAAGTTTTCTTCCTCAAGCTCACGGACTTTGGCGAGGAGGCGGTCGCGTTCTTCGTCCAAAAGTTCTTGGACGCTAGAGTCTTCGATGGAGCCGAGATCTGCTTTTCTGCGGCGCTGCTCTGCTTCTCGGAGACGCGCGTTTTCATTGCTGAGACCCGTTATGCGGGTTCTTAATTCGGCAGCTTCACGCTCAACCTTCTTGTGTTCTTGTAGACGTGCCTGGTTTCGTGTGTCGTTGTCACGATGTAGCTGTGTCAGAGTCTCAATCTTCTTCTCCAACAACTCGGCGCGTGAGACCGAGTCTGATGCCTTGCGGTTAGCAGTGCCCAGCTCAGCCTCTAGCTGCGCAATACGAGTCTGCGCAGAGTCGTGGTCTGATCCATCCTTTTCTGCCTGATCACCGGCCTTATCCAAGCTCGCCTTCAACTCCTGTAGTTCCGTCTTTGTCGAACTAGCCTCCTGCTCTGCCTTCTCCACTGCGCTCTCAAGACTTGTAATCTTCGATTGGAGCTCGTTATTCTTATTCGTTTGCTCCGACAGTTGCCTATTGAGATTTGAAATCTCAAGTTCAAGCGACTCGATAGTTGCAGACTTGGAAGCAACTTGTGCATTCAGATCGTCGATTGATGCGCTTTGGCTCGGAGATGCGGTCGCTGTACGGCGTGAGGATTTGTTGCTTTGTGATTGTGCTTGAGAAAGCTGTCTCTTGAGCGACTCAACTTCCGTTCTCTGTATGATAGGTCAGGATTGCCCTTGAAAAAACTGTAAATACTATGAGTACTTACCAGTGCATCAACCTCCTTGCCCTTCTCAACTGCAAGAGCAGCATCGCCTCTGCTCTCTCGAAGTTCCTCTAGCTCCTCTTCGCCTTTCTTCCACCTTCTCTCATTTTCCTCAACTTCACTTGTTAATCTTTTATTTTCCTTCTCCAGCTCTTCAATCTTCTGTGCTTGTTCCCGGTAAACCTCACTCGTGACCCCAACTCCAGGCGACAAAGGCCCAGCAGCTCCTGAACGATAGAACGATTCTGACCGTTGTCGCGACTCGATAGCGACTGAAGGCTTGCGACCGTGCGGCTGCTTGGGTAATTCTGAGGGCTCCTCGTCCTCTTCTTCGTCCTCGGCTGGAGGCGGAGGTACGCTGGTAGCCTCTATAGGTTCAGGTGCGACTTGTTCAGTCTTCTCTTCAGTCTTCTCTTCGGTATTCGCGGCTTCGGTCGACGCTTCGGCCTCGGCTTCGGCAGGAGTTTCAGTCTTGTCCTCCTTCTTCTTTCCGCCTTTCTTCGCCTTCTGTTTCTTCAATTGTTCATACTAGTGACAAATGGTTAGTTTCTGGTATTTACATAGTAGCAGTATTAGTGTATCTACTGCATAGAGCACATCGCGCTTGGTGACTATGTAGCCAAGAAGCACTACCTCTCAAAAGCACCAAATTCACACAAGAGAAATACCTACGCGCTTCTTCGCCGCCGCCATCTTCTCGGCTTTTTCCTTTTCTTCGTCCGCCATTTTGTCCAGGGGCTATAGTATTTTGGTAGAGTAGTCAGTAAATGGTCACGAAGCTCGATAACTGAATGTGGGGGAGCTTGTGTCTCCAGGGCCCCGATGATGCCAACTTGCGCCGCAAGATCACACTAGTCCGTAAATGGAATAGCTAAATCGTCTACATTGTCCAGGATAGCGAACATTACAACGTCTGCGTGGACATGTACATTCATTGGACACTAACTCAAGACCCTCTGTTACACTGGAAAGCTTTGTTTTAATCAAGTCTTGAGATTCTCAGTATGATGTTTGGAAACTGTTGTTGAACGATGAGTTGCTAATCATATTCACGATCGCAGCATGTATTGCACGCTATTTGCCCAAGTCACTTTACGTGATTATGGTCAAACATCGCGTTGTCCATAGGTAGAAGTTAAGCTCAAAACTTAGAGTCTGGGTATGTTATTGTGTAATACCATGTCAATGAACCAGACATGGTCTGTACTGAGTGACGATACATAATCCCCAATCAAGTATGAGTTTGATCTTTTTTCTTCTCATGAATATATCAGTACATTACTAATCAACACATCTCATGACCATCTGGCATGCTCGCTATGTACTTAATTGCATATGTTGTCACGCAGGCGATAAATCTTTGGTTTGGAAATCATGCTTTTTATAAACGAGCTCTCTCTCTCTCTCTCGTGTGTCTATGTGACGCTGAAAGTCATGCGTTTAGTAAGAAAGAGATGATCAAGGATACCAAGTACGTAAGACCTTGTTTCAATAGTGGTGTCGTTCTATGAGTATAAGACTTGAAACCTTAGACAAGGAGGTATACCAGAGATACTAAACATAACATCATTTCCATGGATTTGCATGTAAGCAGTCAGAAAATAGAAGCCATGAATAGTTCCTCACCGCCTAGTCCCCTCGTATCTTTGTCTGATTCATGCAATCTTCCTTTTTTCACGTGTGAATGCAACATATCCCGGAGCCTCGTATCTACCAACGTTATCAAACCTACCATTGTTTGACTAATCCGTCTCAAAGATCGGTTCGTAAAAGCCCCTTCATTCACGGCAAAAGCCATCCTACATCTTTTGGTATTGGTTGCATTGCCAACACAAGTCACTCCACGTACATGCAATACACACGTGTTGCTGACCAACTGGGCTTACAATGACCCCGCGAGTGCCAGCTGAGACAGAACAGTCGGTTGTTACACAGTTGCATTAGCGCCTTCCACTACCAAGCTATAGACGCCGCTTCACCCGCAAGGCGCCACTACTTTCCTCGCTTAGTTGGATGCATCAGCTTGCCAGGGCAGTTGTCATCTCTACTACAGCGGTTGGTGGCGTTTCCGCTTGGAGCCGAGAAGCGCGGGGCGCGAGCACACACTGCCTTTGAACCGGCGCCTATAGTGGAAATTTACGTAGAGTCTGGCTATGGGCTGATTCTTATCGATAGCAATAGAGTTTTGCTGGGTCACAGGGCTGCTGGCTGATCGCTGATCCTCAGTAGCGATGATGATGAGATGGCTTGATGGGTGCCAGACGGTTTGATCGCCATTGGAAACACTTGACGAGTGCCGTGGCGTGACAAGTCTACATACGCACGTAGGCTTTTACGTACTGGCCCACCGATTCATGTGAGTTGTCAGCGATTTCGGCGTCGAATGAGCTTATTTCTGTCCTGTGCAAGTTTAGCACGACTGCGCTTTCACCGGGGAAACGCATTATGTGTAAGTCGGTCATCACCACGCGTTCGTAGCGTCGGTTTGACTACTCTAAGCCAGGAATTTGTTGCGCACCCTAGAACGCGTATGGTCCTCACAGCTGGACACCTTTGTCTATCAAAGGGTCAGGCTCTCCTTGGGTCTGTCGATCATTGGCCTTGAATCGAGGATTGGTGGGAAAAGACCCGATGACCAACCGCGACCACGCCGCTTTGTGATGTGCCGATTGCGGGTTGCACATCGCTCATCAATAAAGATCGAAGCAATGGAAACATTACGGTAGTCTTTGACATATGGTGTTAAGTAAGCAGAGTCCATCGACAGATCTGGCAAGTATCTCCCGGCACGACGCATGAGGTCTAGTCATGAAAGCTGAGTGATGGCTAGAGCGTCGTGGGCTTCACGTTCCAGGTCGTCGCCAAGGTGTGAGCATCAGGCCTCGGCTCAGCCACGCCTGGAATTAAATTCAACCAATCGAGTAATTCAAAGGAGGATACGACGGACGCTCCGGTGTGTGAGGGCGCTCCGTGGCGTCGCCTAGTTAACTGGCAGACCGTAACTCGGATAACGTGGGACCCCAGAGTAAGAGCACGTCTGGTGATGGTTTTGCGAGCCGCGTCACCAACACCAAGAACTCTGGTTGTCGCAGTATACTCTGTATTTGCCCTATTGGAGCGAGTAAATTAGCAGATATCTCACCAACATTATGCTTGGCACGTTTGATCGAAATTTTGTAGAAACAATTGCTCGTGCCTTTGGTCTAGGAATAAGTCATCAGCAAAAACAGTCAGATACTATTGTCGATCCACAGGTCCAGGTACCGAAGCTGTTCTTTTTTTTTCTTGGCGAGTCTGGAGCTGGCCAGACAAGACGCATACAGCCATAGTTTCAGGAGCGGTGCCTGGGTGTGGGGTAGGCGCCTCTGGTTCGTCCGGAGAAAAGGTGGCCTAGACCTTGGAGTAGGTGAGCAACAAGCACATGGCGACGAACCATGGTCGATAATGCGCTGGCAGCACGTCTCACTGGCTCCGAACTTGGAGAGGTAGTTTTTGTTGGGATGAAGCGTGGTTGGCTGTCCGCAACTTGGGTATGCGGCTCTGCGGGTCCCGACAGCACACTTCCTAGGGGATGAATGGTTGGAGAGTGAATGAGTGTACGTGTTGGTGTGTTCACGGCGTGGATTGGTAGAGTAAATTACCAGGCCCACCTAGCAGCGCAATCTCCCAAAATTCGCTCATAACACCCAAGCTGTTGCCACGTCAAACCGGCGCCGAGTCCTGGAGCCATGACAACGAAGAAGACGACGACGACGCGAACAACAATGACGATGATGGTGGTAAAGAAGAAAACAAGGCAACAAAAACAAAATCGCCGTGCTTGGATCCAGTGCTTGTCCGTGATGTGGGTAAACCATGGTCAGGTGGTCTGGGTGCAAGTAGGTAAGGCGCAGCCGGTGGCTACGTGCCTGCTATTGGCCAGAGTTATCGAATTGTTCGTGGCGCATCCCCTATTCGGCGATAGGGAAAAATAGAAGCCGGAAATTGGCAATCTCGTCGTTCATCCGGCATCAAGACACAGATGAAACGAGATTCGTAATTTGTGCAATCGCGTACCTTGGAACCTTGCAGATAATACATGATACGTCAAGTATTGCCAACTTTGGCCGACAGGGCCGTCTACATGCTGACGTCTCGTTCCTTGGCCGGCCATTCAGGAGGGGCGACGTTTCGCCCCTGAGCGAGGGTTGGCGAATGTGTATCGTGAAGGTCATAACACGTGTATACGTACATACGTAGTACATAGACTGCTCAAGTACAGATGCGCAATATTGACGGGCATCAGCGGAAGATTTGAGATGCAGGTGGACGGGAGGTCGGCAGATGTAGACCAAACAGTTGCCGCGGAGGGATTTGCGACATGTGGAGAAGCCCAGTGGCGGTGCAGTACCAATAAGTATGTACTTGCATGCGAATGCGTATGTCTGAGCTTTGCAAAAGGACACGGTAAGTCCTGAAGGCGTCTATAGCCTGTCCCGCAGCGATATGCTGCTTGGCAGCCTTATTCGTAATTAGAGAAATGATCATGGTATTTGCCGAGCACAATTTTTCTGCTCTCTTCACCGCTGGTCATAGCAGAAAAAAAAACACTTACGCTACGTAGATTTTGCTGGCGCAGATCCATGGAGGCAATGGAAGCTACAAGGGACGCCGTTGCGGACATCCTGCTCCACAGATCGTATTGCCAGCGCCAGACGGAACAGTGCGTATAGGTTTGGCTGCGACGCTCATTTGAGCGCCCGCCTTCTCGGGCCAGCACCAAAAGCCGCTCACTCCGAGCATGCTTGGCAAGACATGTTTTTTGCAAGATGATGATGACACCAACGACAGGTGGATCATGAGAAATGAGGATGGACAGATTTTGCGTAACCTGTTTTCCAGCTCATGACAGGTGTATAGGCATGTCGAGAATAGATAGACCCTGGAGATCATTCAGATGATGCAGAGAGCGGGAGACATGGTAGTCCATGTTCATGACGTCGGAGCCAATAAACCAAATAGGAGCATGGTCCTGGTGCGAGACCGAACCCGTCCTGCGAGCACACGAACTTGGAGCGCGCGCATGGCAGCGCATAGGCATTGGCGTGCAAAGAGTATGTATATGAACAGAAGCAGCCAGAACTGGAATTGGGATGCGCGTTGTATGTGTGTGTGTGTGTATGTGCGTATGTGTACATGCAGGTGTGTGTGCGACAAAATGCGAGCTGCAATTGCGCATGCAGGGTCATGCTAGCCTTGACCGCCTTGCCCTGACCCTGACTTCCTAGACGGCCGAGCAAATTTTGCAGCCATTGGAGAAGAAAAAAATGGGATGGTAAAGGCGGAAACTAGTAGGCGACATTTCACGAACGCCAGGCTGCGGTGCCCGTCCATTGAGACGGCTCAAGACACGGGTGCTTGTCCGGCTTGACGCGTTGCCAAGATGCAGCGCAGGCGATATCAGTAATGTAGTGAGGATCAACGTGCACAGCATTGCCGCATCAAGGGTGTACTCTATGTACTGTGTGTGGGCTCCTTTATCTTTGCATACGCACCCCACCAGATTGGTCCAAAACGGGTCCGCAACAGGAGTGAGTCGGGATGCTTCCTCGGCCTGGAGAGAAGGGCAGTGCAGTGTGTCGTGGTGCTCGGGGAGGCTGGGTTTTGTGTGGGATGATGGGCCAGCAACCAGCCTCGCGGAGAGCAGGCGGTGGGTGAGGTGAGATGATAAACAAAACAATGCTTGCTTCTTGGTGCTGTCATCCTATCCCACTTCTCCGCATTTCGTCTACGACGACTATTTATGGGTGGCGAGCACAGGCTCAGGTCGAGGATGCAAGGGGGATAGCGAGATGGCGAGGCGTCAGTGCCCCTGGCTAGTGCGGGCATCAAACGAGCGTAGTCTGTCCGAGTTGCATATCGAATCCGTGCTTGGCTGTCCATCCCGGGCAGCGAGCAGCCCCCCACTGCGAACGGGTAGGATGAAACAGGCCGTGTCCATCTTCATGTCTCGAGGCGGGCAGCGAGGCGAGGGCATTGCTCAGGAAACCGGGAAGGACCAGGTTGGCGTCGGATGGCAGGGCAGGGCGGAGCGTCACAACGTTGGACGTGGAGGTGACAGCGGTAAAACGGGCATAGCTTGGCTGTGATTTGGCATGTAGCCGCGCTGTCCGACTGCTAGCAGCGGGGCGACGAGGAGAAAGGTGGCAAGGCTTCAGCTTGCGACATGCAGCCAAGACGGTGAAGGAGATGATGGCCAGGCGGAGACAGGACCATGTTTCGCACGCACCGGAGCAGCGGTCAGACGTTGAGGGAGCCGCATGCAACTGCTGCGACTGCAACGACAAGAGGAGTGGTTCGGCAGGCGAGCCAGTGCCAATGCCAATTAATGCCCGTTCCTGGCGGTATAGCAGACCAGCCGGCTGTCCAGTCAAGTGACGCAGCAGCCAAACCACCATGACGAAGCTAGGCCAGCCCCAAAGCCGCTCTAGCCAGCTGTGGCCTGGCATTGGCCCGCCGAGACGAACTGCTCCCTCGACGGCTTGCCTGGCTTGCTGGCCATGATGTGCGCCAGAGGGGGGCCTGTGACGAGCATGGGGAGGCATGGGGGGGATGTTCAGGCACAGGCACAGACGGGCGGAGAGGTGTGCACAAAGAGGGCGATGCGTCTACATGTACTTTGACACATGCGCATGTACCTGCAGTGCTATAGAATCCCAAGGGCAGCCAAGGAGGCGTGGATGCGTGGGATGATGGGATGATGGGATGACGGGATGATGGGATGATGGAGCACCACCACCAGCCATGTATGACCACCGCAACCACGAGCACCACCCCGCGCCGCATCGAGCAGTGAGCGACTAGGATGCAGGGGCAAGGCCAAGTGCGTGCATTGGTGGGTGGGTGTATGTGTGTGTGTGTGTGTGTGTGTGGTGTGCAAGTGCAAGGGAGAAAAGCAAGCGGGCGTGGTGGGCAGCGGGCGGGCTGGCTGACAGGCACGACGAGGCAGGACAGGCAGGCCGGGCAGGCACGCAGGCCAGCGCGAAATGAGGAGGAGACGGAGACGAGAGACGAGAGACGAGCAGGTGGCATGGGACCCCTGATCCCTGTCACCCTGCGCCGCACGGACGTCTGCCTGCCTGCCTGCGCTGCACTAGGCAGGAACCACCGACAAAAGAGATGGGTTGCCCAGGTGCCCGTCTCTCGCCCACTCCGCCTATTCACCGTCAACACCTCTCCTCCCCCGCCATCCTCGCCGCACCCCCCAAACCCCCTCCCCCTCTGGAGCCCATTGTCGCTACTCTCTCTCCCCGAGGCGACTCTAGGCATCTGTCCGCTCCTTTTCCCTTGCTCGTCGTTCCTTAATTCTTCTTCTTGGGTGTACTGGCTTCACTCGGTTCACCAACCAGACTCGCTCTCGACACCCACCACGCCATACGCCATCTTGTACGCACTCGCCCGAGCACCCATCGTCCTCGCGTCACGTTGCACATCGCCCTGCAATCTGCTCGCTGCCTGTGCTGATCCTCTCGCGTCAGTAGTAATCGCGCCCGCTCTTGTACCTCGAGAGCGCTTGTTTCGTCTTACGCCCATTGTGCCCGCGCCTGTAGCACCTCTGTCTCTCGTTGCCCAACCACGCTGCGCCCTGCTGCATCCTCGGCCCTGTCTCCGCATCCCGCCCTCCCAGTCTGACCTGCAGACCAACCACTGTCCTGCGCGTCCGTTGGCGACACCGGCTCTAGTTTTGTCCAGCCTCATTACCACACCTCTCTGCGCCACCAAGGCCAGCAAATCGCCTCGCCATGGCTCAAACAGCGATGCCACGGCACCGCGCTACACAGTCGCAGTCTGGCATTGGCGCGCCCCTGTACCAGCGTCGACATCAATCAAACGCCGGACCCATTGAGCTTATTCCTAACCCAGAGTTCTCGTTTCCCATGCGAGATCCAGACACCGTCTCCTCAGCGCCCGCGCCAGCAAACTCGCGACCAATGTCACTGCAAGCCTATCCGTCCGGCCGTAGAGGGTCGATGCCACACCACAGGCAAAAATCAATCAATGCCCTGCCAGACTTTTCCTTCAATCCTGCCGGAACACCAAAGCCTGCCAAAGAGCCCTCACCACCAGTGTCACCCAACACTCTGGGTGTGCCAATATCGCCCTCGAAGCCGTCTCACGGACACAAACGCGGAGGAAGCGAATTCATTGGCGGTGACATCCGGCCTGGAGGCACCGCGTTGAAAAGCAGCAGCCCTACCAAGGGCGAGGACGTTCTTCCTGCACCAAGCTCAACACTACGCCTAGGTCCTCCACCAGGCCGACGTGGACACGCTCACCGTCGTTCAGGTGCCGTTTCCTCTCATGACTTGACCTCGATTATGAGCCCCCCGGTAGCACCAGCTGGCAGCGCACCCAACACACCCTCTGAAGGCAACCCGTTTGCACCCGGTCACAAGTTCAACAGGTCGATTTCTCAACCCTCGCTGCGCGACCACAGGTCTGACGACGATCCGGCGCGGCCACCGTCCAGAGCACGAGTGACGTTCTCTGATAGAATCGAGACCATCCGTCCGCTCTCGACCATTTCCTCCGAGACAGAGACATCTCTGTCTACTCTCCGTGGACACTCTGCAGCAAACAGTCTTTCGTCAATTGTCAGCGGCAACGCTCCGGCACCTCCTCGAGCAGCACGCCCCTCGCTGAACACGGTTCAGGACGAAGATCGACCCAGCACAGCGGGCATGGTACTGGACAAGTTCATCAGCGGCAAACTGAACGGCGAGGTTCTTGAGCGCAAACGACCCGTCTCAGCAATCTCACTCACGCCATCTGCTGCTCCCACTCCCACTCCCAAAGCACAGGCCAAACGACGAAGTCTCTTCCACCACAAGGACACGCAAAAAGCCGATAACTCGTTTCCGACTCTTCCTACCAGCGCCTCTGACCCTGCTCTCTCCAAGTCTTTCGACGCAACCCTCCCCTCGCCCATGTCTGAGAACGACGAGTCTACAAAAGACTCTGGAAAGCCCAAATCCGCCTCCCGCAAGGGCAGCCACAAACCCCGTAAAGTCAAGTCTTGGGCAAACTCAATCATCACTCGCAAGGGAAAGCACGGCAAGAAGTCGAAAGCACGCTCCCCGACACCGCCACCCAATGCTATTATTGATGGTGACGAGTCGGATGAGTCAGAGGAAATTGACTTTGAGCCTAATTTTGATGACGATACGACTGTTACAATCGTATCCCCTAGTGAAACCCCTGCGGCTCAAATAACGGTAGATACCAGCTACGCGTCGTGGCAACCTCGTCCACTACAACGCGTCGACTCTGACATTATGAGCCCGGTTATCGACCTGGATGCCGCGCTTGGGCCCTTCAACACTCCCAACGGCTCTAGCCCCCGCATGAACCAGCGCGGATTTTCAGCACACCGACGAGCCATGCACAGTGCCAATGGCATTGCGCCTTCGCATCGAAGGACAGAAAGTGCACCGGAATTGGTGCCCTTTGAGAACCGATCATCTGTCATTGCGAACACTTCCCCCATGGCTGATGTCTTTGAAGAAGAGGAGCCTGAAGATGAATTGACCATCCCTGCAAAGCCTGCGAAGGCGACCAAGACAAGGCCAGCTACTGCAGACCCTTCAGAGCTCAAGATTTCGGTGGTGGAAGCCGATTCGAAACAAGAAGGGCCTGGAATCAACTGGACCTTCAAGGATGGACTTGGTCTTAACAGGAGGCCAAAAGCGCACAAGGTTGACTCTTCGGAGCCATTGTCTCCTCGGGCAACACCACCTGCTGATGACCGCACCGAGGACAATGTCCCATCACCACAGGAATCTGAGCCTGTCCAAGTAGTAGAAGACTACGAGGAGCCTCGAACATCATCCCTCACACATTCTTCCGATTCCACTGTTACCGCTCAAACAACCGAAGATACACCCAAGCAGCGCCAGCCTGTCATGAACTTGACACTTCCTCTTCACCAGCAGAGTATGATGACCCCCGACACGATCGCATCGTCCTTTTCGTCGCCAGACTATCGGTCCAGCCAAATTTTCGATACTGAGCGTAGAGGTACCGCGACCTCTTCAATGACCGATTACCCTGTCATGCCATCTCCTCGCTTTGGCGAACCTGGCCCAGAAGTCCGTATTTCTACAGAGGTGCCATCTTTGACATCTTCGCGGTCAACGATGACTAGTGCGATGCAGGGCGGTTTCCCACTCGTTAGCCCGCACCGATTCGGTGAACGCACGTCGTCTCTGTCGTCTGACCCTAGTGAGATGGAGTCTCGGCGCCGTAAGCGCTCCAGCATTGCGAGTCTGTCTCGTTTGATGGGCACTTCGTCCTCGAACAGCGAGCGCAGTAAGCTTTCTATTGAGCAGCGCCCGCAATCAGAACATCGGGAACCTTCTCGAGAAAAGAAGAAGAAGAATATCGGCAGCAGACTGAGAAAGTTCTTCCAGTATACCAGGGAACCTTCTCCATCCAAATCCTGAAACTACGTGTCTTCGCCCTCCACCCAACCAACAACGTGCAGCTGCTTCACACCAGCCGTCACCTGATACCACGATTTTATGGCCTCGCTCGAATGAGCTCGACACACCACCTTTCCCTCTCGCATGACCTCGGAGTTTAAACCAGCGAATGACTATTTAATGGCGCATAACACAGCTGTGATGCATGCGTACGCGAACTGGACTTTTTCGTTTCTTTTCTCTACTTTCCTTGACTGCGGCATATTTTCTTTGTATGAACATTGGAGGGGAACGGTATCTAGGGATCCTGTGGTTCGCATTTGGAGCATTGGAACTGAGACACAATCTATGGATACTTTGACTGGTCCTTTGTTTTTTTATTTCCTTTGTAGCGGCTTATGTTCACCGCTCCTCGACTTTCCTTAAAAATATCTAACCAACCAACAAAACGTATCAAATGGGCATCGGTTTGGCTATACTGCTACATTGCGGGTTCCCTTTACCACCACAACACAAATGCTCATTGGGATATCGAACGGCACGAATGGAGTTTCTTCTCCCTCTTCCCTTTTTTTCCTCTACAATCTTTTTTGATGAACTAGCAAGTAATATGCATATTGCTTGCGTTGGGGGGCAATCTTGAAAGTAGTGTACTTTTTGACACGGAAAGAAAGACCAGAAGGGAAAAAAAGGGCCAAATCTAGTTTAGACGAGTTTTTTGTAACCCTAGGAGATTAAAGCAGAAGCTGAATGAGAGAGAGAGAGTAAGAAAAATAGGAATCAAATTAAGAATTCGAACAGTAAACAAATTTTTCTTGGCTCAAATTAAACTTGCCGTGTCTCTGTCTTCTTCTCCATCCCGGGATTACCCCATTGCATACACGGTACTTGAAGTGTTTCACAATCTTCTTACATACTATCCTTCTTCTCCCGGTAACCTGGATAAGCTTCCTTTGCCGCTCTCTCTCTTTTACCGCCCACCCGCAACGCTATTCCATTTTACCCTATCTCCCTTGAAATACCGCGTACAAGTCTCGTCTTCGGAACGGTGGGACAAAACAGCGATAACCACCAGCCTTTCCCGGGATATTATCGTTCAATAGCATATAGAGCCATCGGAGACA